TTTTGGCTCTACTCATGGGCACCATGTATTTGCTGCACCATCAAAGGGAGTCAGTGGGTGTGGAGGCTGCAGACAGGAAACCTCGCAGGGCGCTGACCTGTCCTTGAGAATGTTGATGAAGGTGCACAGGGTGGCCTCATCAAGCGTTTCACTCAGGAATAAAAGACAAAAAGACAGAATATAGATGAACTCCAGCTCCTCGAGGGGGTCTTTTGTTTGCCTACCCCTCGCTGGGCTGGCAAATGAAGGTCATGTATATTTGTTTAAAACATCACATGGGAGACCAGCTCTTTTGGCAACGCTGATGTAAAGAATCCCTGCCAGTGTCTTGATGTCAGATCAGATGAACTTGATGCAGTTAAAACAGGGGAGACTCTACTGATGTTTTGAAATTGAGGATGTTGTCCTCTCTCCGGACACTGGTAGTCCTAGTTTAATTTGTTGCCAGTAAAAACTCCTGTCCTCATTCAAGAATTGAATCCAAGGCCTTCTGAGTCAAGCCGGGTGTAAATTATCATATTTTTCTGAACATAACTGGGTTAAATCCTATTCCTCTGCATCAACAGTGTAAATCTGTTTGTCTCGAGAGGTTCAGGCTGAGGCCAGCTGTGAGTCAGCCGAGTATCTCACACCCTTGAGCAGTGATTGTAAGTGCATTAATCATAATGACTCCATTAATGCTGCCTGATTAACTCATCAGTTCTCTCTGCTTGGGGGATTGTGATTGAATGATGGCACCTGCTGAAATGGGAGGTTGGTGTAAAAAAAAAAAAGATTTTGGTTCACACTGCTAGAAGCCTTACAGTTATGTAGGTCACTAATCATTTTTTTTTTCTGTTGTGGTTGTCAAGCACAGACAAACACATCCCTAAAGAAAGGACACAGTTGTGCAAGGCCTCAGCTCAAAGCTTTGCACCTAAACAGATTACTTCCACAAGCTAACCACATTCACTTTCCACCAGAGCACAATCTTGTTATCCGGAGCAGCTGACGCGAGCAGGTAGACGAATAAACTTGATTCTAGTGAAGAATGATGTATGAAATCATACAAACAAACGTATAATTCTGTGAGGTGGTGCCATTGAACAAATATAAAGATGTAACACTGACAATAAATAAATAGGAATGAGCAACACACACACACAAAAGAAGACAAAAAAGAAGCTGAAATCCACAATCAGACAACTTTGACAGTAATTAAAGTCGCTAGAATAAATCCCCAAACTACTTGTCTCTTGGGTGAAGTAAGACTGAAGGAGCACATCATAACCTTCATGTATCTGTCATGGATTTACACCTACAAGGTCAGTCATTCTGGAATAAATAAGTTAGTGATAACAAAATCTATCTGTTATTGTGATTGACTCCTCCTGGCATTTCAATCCACAATCTTATTAATTCTCTGCAAAACCTTGGTGTTAAGAATTCAGTAACTCTGGCAATATTTATAAATGTGACTAAAAGTGACTCATCTGAACAAACAGTAGCCTGGGTTGTTAGCGACACTGTTATTAGCTGTGTTAGATTCCTGATTAATTACAAAAGAACAGAACAGAAGGTGTTTCTTTCTATCCATTAAATCTATTTCCTGTTTTCATCATTTCAGGTAAATGGTTTTACCTGCTCAAACTGAAGAAAACGTTCAACTTGACATTCATCATTTTTCCAGATACATTCGTTTAACAGCTCCAGTGAATCATTCTTACTAAACCACAAACGTGCCCTCGCTTGGTTTCCATTCCTACCATGTGAAGACCCTTCGATATTGTAGCTGTGTCTTCATGCTTTCCTTTGGTTCTTACTCAAATTGGAAATGAGAAAGACAGCACTGTGCGAAGTTAAAGGACCTGCTATAATTAATCCCTGTCATTTCTGCTCCTCACCTGGACCTGCGTTGAGCCTTAGGTGAGACTTTACCATGGAAACAGAGCCCAGCAGTTAAAGTTGTTCACGCATCATCTATTAAATCTACATATGGAGTCATTTTAGTAGACAAAGCAGATGACTCTCATTTGTAAAGATATCCTCATTTCACATAGGACTGACATATTTCTGCTTCTTTGCTAAAAGTAAACTTTTTTCTGTGACGCCGTGTCTCAAAATGTGTTGGTGGCTGTATCTAAAATGAAGAGAGATATTCCTGTTACCATTCTCACCTCCAGACATTTTGCGTCACATATTTTTCACTGCAAACAATGAGCTACTACATATACAGCATATACAGTGGCAGCAAACACCCTTTTAGATCCGACTTCACCGTCACGTTTTCAAACATGACCACCCAAAGCATTAGGTTTGTGAGTCAGGTGACATTTTCTGTAAAAAAAAAAAAAGGAATTTTACTTGCTGAGCAGAAGGAAACTGCCCCTTCCAGTTGGCTTCCAGTTAAGTTGTCATGTCACAAATTTTGGCTAGCAGATAGACAACTACAGCTAAAGATTTAAAGGTGTCACATAGTGCCCGTTTTCAGCAAAGTCTCCCATGTCCCCAGAATGTGTCTATCAAATTTTTTAGCTCAAAAACTTGCGGTTCATTCTGCCATGACTGTATAACTACTGGATTTAGCCGCAAAGGAGGCAGTCCTAAATGAACTGTTTGTCTGTAGCCTAAATACAGTCGAGCTGCTGATGTCCACGTCAAGACTTTGTGGTTATTAATAAAAATATCAGCGGTGCAGAAGCAATAGAGAAGCAAACGGATGTAAAGGGCTAATTCTGGCCAAGTTCAAGTTTCACTGAAGGCAAAATGAAGACACAGTAACGCACTATTGGTGCTTGTTTACTGATTTGAAATTGCTCTTAAAGTTTCCACGATCTCTGATTGTACCTAACCTTTACAGTTTCTGCAGAGTTCTGACCTATGCGCTGATGATCAAAGCTAATAGTGACACTACCTGCACTGGCAACTAACTCGCTGGATCTTTAGTCACTCAGATGCTGGGAGTGCATAAAAACTCTTGTTCACTCTTGCAGCCATCAGCAGAACATTTTGTCATTTATTAGTTTGGGTAGCAGTGGTAAGCATCTTCATATAACAGTTTTTATTTTTTGCCTCACTAACGTTTAAGGTTGATCTCAGCGGTTCTTTACATGTTCAGACTCTGAACATCTGTCCAGTTAAACATCCAAGAGAAATATGAAGGACCAAAACTTTGACCTGAACTCTAACAATGTACCAAATTCTCTGTAATCGTCAGTTGGGCTTCACATTAAACAGAATATTGTTTTTTCAAGCAGCTTTGAGTCTCAGCTGCCTGCAAGCCAAGCCTTACGCAACAGCCTTGTATAAGTTTTACTGGAGGATTTCAGGCAGCATGGGCAACATCTAAACTCTGACTTATTTACTTATTTGATTATTTTTGCCTTGTGATCATCCACCCTAGTTTTTTGTGCCTTTACTGCATGGACTGCTTGCTTTTTCTTGGTGTGAAAGGAGTTGAGGTCAGACCACACCCCAGAGCTTCATCCTCCCTGCTCTGATTGGTGTTTGGGTAAAGGTGGCGCGGCTGCAGCAGAGGCGCCGCACAGCTCAACCTGCTGCCTGCTTGGACTCACAGCTGCATACCTGTGGAAAAGAAACGGACACAAACAACCAAGAAGCTTGTTGTAATTATTTTATTTTTTAAATACTTGGGGTCCAACATCCTTCCTATCCTACACGTAAGTTGTTTTTTTCTCCTTTCTCGTACAGTTTACACGCTGTCAGTAATGTTTAGGAATAATTTGAATAACTGTGCGCAATGTTCCTCACCTCAAATCTATTTGTTTGATTGAGGAGATCAACCTGTTTTTTTTTGCGTTGATTAGATTAGATTAGATTAGATTAGATTAGATTTTATAAGTCCTAACTTTGTTGGGATAAAATGTCATGCGTGGAGCGGGATACGACCGTGCGTAAAAGCAGCTGCAGATTTGGATACATCTTGGCTACATCGGTCACGCGTTTGTCTGCTGGACATCCAAGTTCTTCAATATTCCTTGCATCTGAATGTTGCTTTATGGGTGTGGTGCTGATCTTAAAAAGAAAAAGAAAAAGGAACCATTTAGGTTGATTATTTATAAAGAACTGCATGCGTTTGTCAATTTACTCTCGTTTATATTCAACTGGAAAACTCTCAAAGACCCACAATATAGAAGTGATTTGGACAAAAGAGAACAAAGTGGGTGTGTGTGAAAGAGAGTGAGAGTGAATAACTGGGTGAGTAGTGTGATCTCAGGTCTGTACTTACTACAAAATCAGTTGTTTTTATATTGCTTACATTATGTCATTCAGCAAGTTATATCCCTCCGTGTCTATTATAATAATTACTGTTTTATTACATGTTGATACAAGTGCAGCTGTAATGTGCAGTCGATCACGTTGCTGTAGTCATTCAAGGCAAAGCTGGTACTGATGGGACATCTCTCTAGTCCTTGGGTTGATGAATAATGAGTGACTCTTACATCCAAATGTTTCATGGTCTAGGCTATAGACAAAGAATCACTGTAATGCTGTTGATGTAGCGCTGCTCTCTCAATCTCAGTTCACATCATATTTGTATTTTTCAAATTGTTGTTGATCTTTCAATATTAGGCAGGATATTTTAATGTATCCTAAACAATCTTTTTTATTACTCTAGTTTGGATTTCCTTTCATGATTTTTTTTTGAATTCTTATTATTGCTTGCACTCTAAGAAACCGTCCACATGTGGAATTTCTCCCCATGCAGGCTAATATCAGTTAAATGTAGTTGCACGTTCTTCACAGTATGTGAGCTCCGTGTTTCCAGTCCAGCGCATATGTGGCTGGCATTTATGCATATTACTTCCTTCTGATGTGCTGCTGTAGGCTATTATTCATTTATGAGTTGTTTGCTGGCCTCCTCTCGTAACGATGTGTTCGGTTGATCTGCGCTCACTTCACGGCCCCTGACTCATCCATTTAGTCCCTTGTTAATTCCCTGTTCTTGCTTCACTCCTATTACCAGCGCTGATCTTCACGGTGGATGAGCAGGATGTTTCCTCCTCTGCGAGCTTCAGAAAATGAACTCCTCTCTGTGTGACTCTGCAGTGACCATGTACCACCTGGCGACAGACCACCAAGTTAACGCCAGCTGCAACTGCACTTCTTCCAACTGGACGGCGGAAGATGAGGCCCCGCAGTTGCCCACATTTACCACAGCAGCCAAAGTCAGAGTGATCATCACCTTCATTCTCTGCAGCATATCTGCCTTCTGCAACCTGGCCGTGCTGTTGGCGGCACACAGCGATGGGAAAAGAAAATCCCACGTCAGGGTGCTGATCATCAACCTGACGGTGGCTGATTTGCTGGTGACCTTCATCGTGATGCCTGTGGACGCTGTGTGGAACATCACAGTCCAGTGGCTGGCTGGGGACTTTGCCTGCAGGCTGCTGATGTTTCTAAAACTGCAGGCGATGTACTCCTGCGCCTTTGTCACTGTGGTGATCAGTCTGGACAGGCAATCGGCCATCCTCAACCCTCTGGCAATCAATAAGGCCAGAAAGAGGAACAGAGTCATGCTCACCGTGGCGTGGGGCATGAGCGTGGTGCTCTCAGTCCCTCAGGTAAGGTCTGGCGTTCCTGCTGACAGCATGGGCAAAGGGCTCAGGACTGACTGTAATTAGATCAGGCTTTACACTGTTTTTCGAGCAGGTGTGTTTCCGTGCACGGAAAAAACACGGCTACATTCTATACTCTGACATCCTTCCTACATTGGTTGAAGCTCTTACATGAGTATTTTATATTCTGTGATTTACAATCTCAGGTCCATAAAAAAAAACATTTCCAAATAAAAACCAGCTCAACAAAAATGTATGAAATGCAGTCTTCCTCCAATTCCTGTCTGAACAAAACAATTATTTCCACCAGAGCTTCTTGCCGACATGTGTCTATTTTTGTCAATACCAAAACATCTTAATCACCATGTGGCAAATTGCTGAAGCGAGGACCAAAGTGAACAGTAATTAAGGAGCAATTTACACAGATTGGTCTGGTTGCTGTGTGTGAGCATTCAGGCCGATCTTGAGCTTGGGAGAATATTGCCTCTTATTTTTATCTTTTTGTTGTTCTGGATAAATCCCATAATTTATCCTGGTTGCAGGTGTTGAATTATGCAGCTGTCACTATGTAAAGTTTTGTTGTAGATGACATAAAAGATGCACTTTAAACACCTGGCACTTTTGCATCTGGGATATGTTCTGTCTTCTGAAGCAAAGTAAAGTGAATTTTCATGTTCAATTTGATGAACAATCTGCCTTCTGAGTGTTGTATTCAACTAACTACATTTTGATGAGCATCAATTGACATAAACATCAAAACAAACAGGAAAAGACAATCAAGTTGTTCTTTTCAATTATTTCTATGCGTATTTTAAGCAGCAGTTGTATGATCACAACAGAACCACATATTCATTAAACGTATAAGGCTTATTGTTAAAAAAAAAAACATCTGTGGTATATAAAATGCTTTATAGTTTCGCCTCTGGATAGTTTTCTTTTCTTCTCCGAGTGATATTCTGTCTTTTATTTCACAAACAGGCCTGTTCATACTCAGTTACACATTATTTTGATTCCTCAGGTTTCTACAACTCACTTAAGTCTTTACATAATCCTATACAAATAAAGGTCCTGATGTGCCTCCTGATGAGCTCTGTGGGTCATGAGTTAGGGAGGCTGTGAACTGCTCTGAGAGACCTGCAGCATTTATGTTGTTCCTGTAAACAGAAGATGATCTTTTCAATAAGCAAATTCAAGATGGGTGGCATCTATTCCTCTGATTGTAGATTTAACAGTTTTAAAAGGTTGTTTATAACAGGAGCTTTGCTGTGTCATAGTTTAAGGGGTTCATTCATCCAACATATTTGCTTATTTCATTCATGGTACTTGTTGATTTTCAGTCCTATCCAGTTGTGCAAATCATTTTTGACACCGACAACTGAAATTGGAATCATTTCTATCACAGAAACCGTGAAAAAAAGGTGTAACTGTCAGACTGACTAATGCAAAAGGCAAGAGAGAAATATTTTTGTCGGGCCTGTGGTTAACAGACCCTTTAAGCTTAAGATGTTATCCCATATGACTTTCTAAATAGTGTTCATTTCCCTTCACAGATGTTCCTTTTTCACAATGTGACCATTATCCATCCCGAGGACTTCACTCAGTGCACCACAAGAGGAAGTTTCGTCACACGCTGGCATGAAACAGCCTACAACATGTTCACGTTTTCCTGCCTGTTCCTGCTCCCGCTCGTCATCATGATCACCTGCTACACCAGGATCTTCTGTGAGATCTCCAAACGACTGAAAAAGGACAATTGTAAGTGTAAATTAAGGCTGGGTCAGTTTTGCCTCCTTCCCAGTCTTACTTTGCATCGTCCACAGTCAACCTGTAAACTGGGATTTTAACATCAACTGAGACTATGGTTTTCAGAAGAGATGCTGTGATGAGCATTTAACGACCAGATGGTTTCCTCAAGAAATGATCCTAATGATAATGATCCCTGGACTTTTGCCAACACCGTCAGGTTTACATTTTTGCATGTTTGCCAGTTACTGGAACTACTGAGTTACCATGAAACTTAGTGCGAACATCCATGGTGGGCAAATGATGAATTTGCACCATGTATCCTTTTCCCCCATTTAAGAGGAAATCAAATCCATTTTTAAAATTTTAAACAATACTTGATTTTTATGACTAAATACTTGCAAAATGTTAGCATGCAAATACACTAAACTAAAAGGGTGGACATAGTTAATATTATGTTTGCTAATCATCAGTATGTTAACATTAGAAGTGTCAGAATATTGTAGAAGAATATAACACCACTAATGTAGGAATAAACAATTTTCAGAGACAGAAGCACACTCTGAGCTGACTTTTAAAAGCTATTCTTGTGCTATGCGATTTCTGGCCTCATCTAGTTGTCTAGTTTATAATGAAAAGTCAGTTTGCATCTTTTCTCTGTTGCAACACTCTGAAACTGAACCTCTCATAACCTCAAGAAATTAAGAACTGCCCCTTGATAAGTAATTTTTTAAAATTGAATTAACTTTTTTGATTTATTATGTGGGCTGCAAGGTGGCTCGGTGGTTAGCACTGTTGCCTCGCAGCAAGAAGGTCGCGTCCCGGTGAGGACACCCGGGATCTTTCTGCGTGGAGTTTGCATGTTCTCCCAGTGCAGTGTGGGTTCTCTCCGGGTTCTCCAGCTTCCTCCCGCACAGTCCAAAAACATGTCGAGGTTAATTGATGATTCTAAATTGTCCGTAGGTGTGAATGTGAGTGTGCTTGGTTGTCTGTCTCAGAGTGTAGCGATAGACTGGTGACCTGTCCAGGGTGTCCCCTGTCTTCGCCCTAAGCCAGCTAAGATAGGCTCTAGCCCCCCTGTGACCCTAGTGAGGATTAAGCGGTGTATAGATGATGGATGGATGGATGGAATTTATTATATGTTTGCTTTCAAGTCTTTTAATGTGTCTGTCCTCTATTTTGTTTCCAGTGCCCTCCAATGAATTGCATTTGCGGTGTTCAAAGAATAACATCCCCAGAGCCCGGATGAGAACTCTGAAAATGAGTATTGTGATTGTCTTGTCTTTCATTATCTGCTGGACTCCGTACTACCTGCTGGGCCTGTGGTATTGGTTCTTTCCCGATGACCTGGAGGGGAAGGTCTCTCACTCTCTGACTCACATCCTGTTCATCTTTGGGCTCATCAATGCCTGCCTGGACCCAGTCATTTACGGCCTGTTCACCATTCACTTCCGAAAGGGGCTCCGGCGATACTACTGCAAAGCTGCCACAGCGACGGACCTGGATAATGACACAGTTATAACCGGATCCTTTGCTTGTGCTGCCAATTCTTTGTCACTAAAAAGAGGAGTGAGCCCTGCTACCCCAGAAAGGCTCACGCTGTGCAGCGACAACAACAGCAAAACAGAGTCGACATCAGAGAGGAGCAGCTTTCTAACTGCCGACACTGACGCAGAAAGAGTTCAGTCCAACCCTGAGAGCATTTTATGAGAGGAGTAGAGGGGAAGAGGGCCTTCGAAGGTTTATACCACTGTTGTATAACTATTATTTATTTATTCAGATGTATTCGGTGTCTGACTGTCTGATGTGTGGGGACCCGTCTCATTGAATGCTACATGTCATTTCAGCTTACTTAAAGTGCTCATGTACAAAACAAAAGGGGCAGAAATTGCTGTAGGCTGGAAAATTCACAACTTTATATTATAGGAGGGAAAGCTCACATAATGAATACATTCATCATCTTATGCTGACATAATGTGAGCTACTGACACTGAGGAATGTTTATGTGTGCTGTAAATTGTAATTAGTGGTCATCTTGAAATAAATGTATTTATTGGCACCAGTGGAGGGAGTGTTGGTTCATTTTTTGCTGTTTGAAAAAAAAAAATGCAGCTGCAATTGGAAGCATACAAATTCATGTTGGGCAGCAATTACATGGAGATTTCTAATGTAAACACACGTCAGTCTCTGTGCTGATGTTTAGCAGCAGCATCCCTGTAGGGGCAGCTGCCTATGATCAGCAGTGAGTCAGAGCACCCAAATAGAAAGGCCATTTCTACTCTGGAATCATGACAAATTGGTGTCAGTTTTTTCTAAAACAAGGCTTTCGTTAAGAAAAAGGTATAAATGGGACATGTAGGTTCAGGTGCAGCGAGCTCTTGTCCAGTGCTCGAAGAGGATTAGAGGATGCTCAAATGTCAACAAAGGGGAGAGAGATGTAACTTTGGATGCATTTGTTCAACCTGTAATCATCTAATAAACATAGTGTGTTGAGCAATGATTAATGTGCACATGACTATACTAAAAAATACTGCCGAACATTAATGTCTCGCAAAATAATCATAACTAAAGCCACAAGCGGCGATGGACAGATCCTATGATTGTCGGCCTTCGTGCATGTCGAGTTTTGACAGAAACGCGCTCTGGGCGGGACTCTGATCCGGTGTGTCGAGCTTCGGGCAGATCGGAGCAAGTGCGGCCTAGTTATAAGCCACTTCCTGCTTCATGGCGAGCCACGGTGCATGTCGGGCCGTGGCGGAAATGTGCTGTGGCTGGAACTCAGAGCATGTGTGTATAATTTCAGGCAGACTGGAGCACGTACAGGTCAGCTCCACAGTACTTCCCGTTTTATGGTGTTCGACGGCGCTGTGTTTTTTCAAAATGGCGGACTTCCTGTTGGGTTTAGGGCTTGGCGCTGATTGATTTTTTTGTGTATCCCGACCTGCTACACATGGCCACCAAATTTTGTAGGTCTAGGTGAAACGGCCTGCCGACGGGACTCCGTTGAATGCCAGAAACACAGCAAAAATGCACAAAATGGCCTTTCATCAAAATTGTGCAAATTTTAACAACCTTTAATCACCACGTCCTGGAGTTTATGCTGGCCAAAGTTCAGGTGTGTACGACATAATCCCTGGGAGGAGATTTTGTAATGACCAAAAATGAGGAAAATGGCTCGCCGTTTTTCCAACATGGCGGACTTCCTGTTGGGTTTAGGGTATGGCTGTCACTGACTTCTTTATTCGTCCTGACCTCCTCCATAAACCTACCAAATTGTGTAGGTCTAGGTCAAACGTTCTTCCGATGGGACTCCGTTGAAATTTTCTAGGTGGCGCTGTGGAGCCATTTTTCTATTGAGGTATGTATTTCCCCCTAATTATAAAATTTTTCCATGGGTCTGATGTGTGTGCCAAGTTTTGTGAGTTTTAGAGTATGTTTAGGACCTGAAAAACGTGTTTCTTCGTGATGACGAAACAATGACATGGCAGTTCCAATAGGGTCCACTGTAGTGCTCGGACCCTAATAATAATCTATATCTGCAGTTAATGAAGGCTGGCTGTGCACATGGAGGATTTCTTTAGGTCACTTTCCGTGGTGGCAACAAACTAATCATTTTAAACTGAGATAAGAAACTGAATCCACTTTCTAAATTGATGTCTTTATCATCCATCTTTCATTAATCAACCCAACAGTGTGCCAACGGGACCAAGAAAATGATCTGAATTTTAATTTGTAACCTTATGCCAAATATTTCCATTTGCTATGGTCACAACTTATGTTTTTGTTTTTTTTAATCCATTAATCTATCACTTATTTTTTCAAACTCCTGATTCATTGTTGGCATGAACAATGTTAGCAGAAAGTCAAAAATGTTCATCGCAATTTTCTTGAAATCAAGGTGACGTCTGAACAGTCTTGGCTGGAAACAGGCTTTTCTTTGTTTGCTTAATGATGCCTTGATGAATAACCAATTCGCAAAATTGATTTCTGTCAGTCTGTGGAACTAGTTCATAAAGGAAAACTGTGACATTTTGGAAATTACGCTGAGAGTTATATTTGAAAACTAATACTACTGTCAGATCTGTGTGTAAATATGAAGCTGACAGCTGGTTAGCTTAGCATAAACAGCTAGCCTGACTTTGTCGACTTTGTAGCTGTTCCATTCAGTTCAATTCAAATAACTGTATTTATCCCATAGGGGCAATTCAAATAACATGAAGTAACATGGTTAACATGGTATATCTCATATGATTAATTTACAGAACATTTAAAAACGACACATTGTGGGTTTCTGTAAAGCTAAGCGAACCTGCTGCTCACTGTAGCTTCATAGTTGCTGTACAGACAAGACGGTGGTATGTGGCACATCATTCTCATTTGTAACTCAGAGTTAGAAAGCAAAAAGTCATATTTCCAAAACATCAAAGTAGTTCTTTGATTAACTCAGTATAATTGGACATGGAGAAGTAAATAATTGCCAGTTTCAATTATGTCATTTTGTTTAGCTTTTGCCAAAGAGTGTAGGAAAAAAATAAATGAACAAAAAAGACAAATATTACAGTTAATTGTAATGCTCTGGGGAAGAGAAAAAAAAACACCTGAAGTGGCATCACTGGGTAAAAAAAACAAACTGCAAACTCTCTGCCTCCCACAGATTTTTTTCAAAAGTACAAAATTGATTTTGACACAAACACACGCCAGGCTCTCTGCATAGAGCACCTGGCCCTTTGGAATCAATCTCTCTGTAAAGCTTTTTAGAAATTCAAATGAGGCTTTGAAGCAGATATTAAAATCAGTATCAGTATCTGTTCCCTTTCACAGAGACACGCCACAGTATGATCTGATAGGACTGGTGAAAACAAATACAAATTACGGAGCAATGTGAATAAATGCGTCTGTGCAAAGAATAGCAGCGACACTGTTATGGGTGGAGGAGAAAAAAAAGTCTGTGAAACGAACACGACTCCCACATGATGGTTCAAGAATGTACTTAGTGTTTTGTCACCAATCTGTGTCCATATCACCTATCCTCCAATTTCCTGTTGCCCTCGTTATTCAGCCATTGCATTCCCCTGTTATTCGCACGTGCCAGTTTCATAAAACCTTCAAACTGAACCTGTGTGATTATCTTTACAATTTGTTGTATACTACAATTTAAAGATGTGTACTTTAATAAAATCCTCTGTACGCTCTCCTACATTAGTTGGTGTCCTCTGAAAATGACACATGAAACATTCAAAGGCCCCAAAGGCAACAAACTCATGCCATGACTGAGGTCAAACCACCATCCTGAATACAGTCACCCTTTCAAAAGACACATGAGACATGGCCTCGCAGCACCACAGATAGAAACACAACCATGTTCTTGTTTTCTGAGACAAATTCAGTATCAGTGCCTGAGTTTGATTTTACAGTAAAATAAAAACTGGAGATTAGTTGGTAGCATGAGACAGTATTTACAGGTTTGACTGTTCAGTTTAAGTGTTGCTTTAAGATGATCATCAATCAATTATCGATATGAAATACTTCAGCTACATAATCTTATTGGATCATACTGATTTATCAGAGAAAACACACAGCCACGATACCTTTGGTCCACTTATCATACAGCGTTTGCTGCTTATGGCAGACCATACATACAGTTTTAAGTTAAAGATATGATTTCTATGATTTCTGTCATTTTCAGTTGTTGCTTTGTGTTTTTTATTTAAAGCCCTGAAAAAACACACATTTAGCTGAATAGGTTTCACTTCTTATTATATAATTTTGTTATAACCAGAATAATTTTTTTTTTTGCCAAGTCGGTGTTCACATATGTGGAATCTGACGTGTTGATTTGGTCCACGATATAATTTAACAGTGTGACCCCACCGGGAAATGGAGCAGAAATCAATACAGCTGCTGTAAATCAGTTACTTATTGATCACTGCTCTGCACGATATATCATCAACAGTTTATTGGAAAAATATGTCTGTCAGAAATTTCAAGAGACTTGTGTTGATTCAGATATTTTTATGTATTTTATTTTATTTTTTATTACTTATATCCATTAAAAAAAAAAAATCCATATTCTACACTGCTTGCAAATATTTCAAATGGCAAAAATGATATCTGTTTGTGAATTAGCACTGTGTGTCAAGGAGATTCATGCAGTGAAGCAGGTCGGAATCCAGACAGGTTTGTAGTATCTCAGTAGTACCTAGATGATTTGTTGCAGTTCTTCAGCTGGCTGCAGCTCTACTGTCTTTGTTGTAATGTCACTGCAGTTTCCTGTAGCCGCTCCCATGTCTTCATTATATCTCTGGTCCTTTCAGCCACAGACAGAGCTCTTGACATGAAAACAGAGGAACACAAAGCTACTTCAACATTCAAACAGGAATCGTTTGTTTTGCGTTTGGAGTGTACATAATATCTGATTCATCTTGGGAGTCCATTAAAAAAACAAACATAATCACATTATTCAGATGATGGAGACAAAAAAAACTCACCTTTGCTGGAGGTAGACATTGCAGGTTTCTTCTAATGTGTCATAGCTCAGTGTTTTTTGTTGTTGTGGAGAGTCTGGGTGTGAAATAACAAACTGTTTAGTGATGCCAGACTCTCTGAAACGGAAGATGAAAAGCTGACTCTGGCTGCTGTCCTCGGAAGAAGCACTGCAGCTGGTGTCCTGGTCACCTGGGTGGGACATGAAAACCTGGAGTTAAAGTATTTATTCTGACAGTTCACTGAATGTCATGCTCTTCATGTCACATCACCTGTGACTCTCATTATCAATACTTAGAAGGGTTCCGTGGTGGGGGGGTGTACCTCGTATGAACAGAGTTTGCAGCTTGGCGTTCAGCGCATAAACAGGACTGCAGGGAGTCGAAACCAGATGGGTTGTGGGAGGAGTCAAGAAGCACACAGTGGTTTTGTTGATAACATCTTGGAGGAACATTTTTCCATTTCTTTTTACCACAAGTGACTAGTCGGGGCAAGAAAACAGAGTAAAATGAGCCTGAAATTATTAATTAGTTTTCTAGCAAATCATTCATTAACAGCTTTAGTGTTCCTACCAAACCCTGGAGAAATGGTACTGAGGTAATGACAGATGGGAAGTCCCTGCTGTCTTCTGGCCTGTACAGACACAGGACATAATGCACGACAATGTTTAGTTTCATCCGCTCATAGCCTTTTGAGTTATCAAGCAGGGCACAGAAGGACAAGAAGGAATTTAATTTGCAGAGAAAGCTAGTTGTACACAGTAAATACAGGAATATGTCAAACTCAGGTAACCTTTCAGTGAGCTGCGTTGTGCAGGACTGTGTCCCTCGTCCTGTGGTCACGGTGTGAATTTCTCCGCTTTTACACAACAACAAAAGATGGACTTTTTCTGCAGTAAAAATCTCGGAATCATCAGCACACACAGACCAGTAATCTGTAAACTGCATCCTGATGAAAGCACTGTTTTCTGCTGGAACTAAGACAACAGCCAGTGGCGCCCCTGAAAGAAAGACAGGAAAAAGATTCAACGAGAATTAGGCCTTAAACTTGTTTATATTTTAAACTTGAAGCAAACGTTAGACTGTTAGTCACTCGCGCACACACACGCACACTTGGGACTGTTTACACAAGTTTCACTTGTTTTTGACAACAAGATTTAACAAAGCATTTAGCTTAAAGCAAGACAGTGTCTGGACCACAGCCACTGAGGCTCCACTGGTGAATTCAGAATGATGGCCATGAGCACTTTATTATAAAACAACTAAAATGTTCATTTCCTGCATTACTGCTAAAACTTCATGTACCAGTGGCATAAGTAAAATCACCCAAAAGATCCAAAAGTCAGCCAACTGACTCATTAATGTCAGTTATTCTACAATCTATCTCAATCAAAAGTGTCTCTGGAGTCCTGGACCGTTAATGTAAAATATGATAAGGGGATTGCTGCCAAGTCACCACACTGAGACTTAACATGCTGAACAGCCTACATGCTGTGCATGTAGTACACATGCACTCATTTGTAAAATAACAGACTCAGCAGGATTCTTCTCAGTACCTCTGAGTTCTTCAATATAACTGCCCCACCCGCTGTCTCTGCTCTGCCGATTCCTTCCTCCTGACCCCCATCGTCACAACCAAGCATCAGACCTTAGGGGACCGAGCCTTTGCTGCTGCCACCCCCACCCTGTGGAACTCCCTTCTTCAGCACATTAGACAATCAGACTCTCTCAGAACTTCAAATCACAGCTCAAGACCCACCTGGTCAAACTGGCATTTCCTCCTTGACCACACTCTCTACTATCACACTTCAATACTTCATTGTCCGTTCTCTTCTATCCACTGTGTTTCCATTTGTATGCTTTTTGTAAAGCGTCTCTGAGTTTTTTAAAAAGCACTATATAAAAGTTATGTATTATTACTATTATTGTTATTATCATTATTACCTCATAGGGGTTATTTCACTCATTTTACATATTTTCTATAACTAAAACATAATTTATTGCTTGTTGTTCTGGAGTATTTGACTTTTTTCTAGTTTGAGCTTTTGTAGCAACACGTAGCAAATCAGCTATCAAGTTTAACAGCCTTGATGGAGAATGAGCAACATGGAACATAGCAAAACGGCTGCAGGAGGTAAACTGGCTTGTTCCTTTCATTGTGTTGTATAATGATGTTGCTCATATGCTATGCTGTAAACATTCTTAGTATTCCTTGTGTTGGCGAGAATAAGATGCTTGCAGGTTATCTGAAAACTCAAAATGGTTAAAACAATGAGTTTTCAGCTATAGCCAAACAACTCAGGGGTCACACATCACACACTTTAAGAGATAGTCCACTGTTAGATTTGCTCACCAGATAGTCTGTCCCAGACACACACCAGAGCATCATCCAGCCCAAGAGCTATGTAACGAGTGCATCTACTAACAGCCGAGCAGAGGATTTCCTTTGCATGTGGCCACAGCACATCAGGCATTGGTTCCACATCTGCTTCAAGAAACAGAAAAGGGTCCCAAATCAAAATTCATATTAAATTATGACTCAATCAACCTCTCTAGTATAAAGAAAAGGCACAGTAGCAACTAATTTTAAAGATGTGTTTGTAAGCATCCAGCAGGTTAATCTCTGAACAAATAAAATAGACCACCTGCTTTGTTCTTTGGTGCTTTTTGCAGCAAATACTGACAGAGATTCTGGCTGCCAGTCCACCACACAGCAACAGCAACAGGCATTCCCGCTGAGAAAAGGTCAGAGATTGAACATGGAATTAATAATAGGACAGTCTGCATTCACACTTCAACATGACTTCAAAAGAGCTAACTGATGAATATGAAATGCAGAGACTTAATTAGAAGGAGCATATTAAATTATACTTTAATCGTAGGAAATTTACATTCAACAGACAAATTGCAACTACGAGAAAACCCAGCAACACTCTTGCTTGATTACAAACCTGGCTGAAAATTT